TTATGTGATTAGCTAACTGCCTGTAGCCCTGTCCTGACAGTGCTAGAGACCGAGTACAACGTTCCATATCCAACTGTAGTATCTTTCCAATGAGAAGGAGGAATCCTGAAGCTCGAGGAAGAGCCTACCCAGCAAAGGAGGAGGATATTTTTCAATCCAACCACCTGGCTATCTCAAGCTTACCTTCTTCAGTTACTGCAGCCAGGAAGTTGTCCCTGGTCCAAACTTTACGAAACCAACGGAGACCTCTGCCAGACCTCCTAGTTGATCTTTGCCAGTCTGCTAGGACCGCCAATCTCAGAGCTTGCTTAACCATTGATCTCTGTTGGTGGAAGTGAATTGCTTGATTCCTGAAAACTGCCTCGTTCCTCGCTTTCCAAATAACTTTGAAAATTATACCACGGCAAACCAGGGCAACATAGCCCCAGTCAGAGCTCAACTTTGCCCCATTTGGTGGAGTGGCCGACAGTATCCAACCCTCTGTCCATTTCCATTTGAGGCCCACAACATCGTCCTATTGGAGCTTCCACCACCTCCATAGTTCATCTGAGTAAGGACAAAATAACCACAGATGGTTTGCAGATTCTCATGATCAATTACACCGTTTGCAAGTCAAGTCTACCTCCATCCCTCTTTTACTCAGCCAGAGCGAAAACGTTGTAAGACCCATTGACTGTGCCCACATCAGACTAGCCTGCTTCTGTGAGGGGATAGTTCTTAGTGTTCTTCATATTGAACTAAAATACGGTGGCATTTTAACTTCTCCAAAGGTCTTCTTAAAAATGCGAACTGCTACTTTCTGTGGTTGTGCATGTGCCATTCTCAATTTCGAGGTGCCCAATTTTGTGGAGTATAAGATAATCGGGGTGTTAACACCCTGACTGTCTTTCCACCCATATAGAGTAGGATCAACCGGGAAATCCTGAGCCAAGCCCTTTAGCAAGATACATTTTTTATTGTTCGGGCCATGCTTCTCCAAAACTCGTACCTCCAATAAGTCACTAGTAGAAGGTATGGAGGATTCCTCCTCCTTGGTCAACTCATAACCCAATGCAGTCCTTCTACCTCTTCTCCACTCTTCCACTTTAATACCTTGTGTCAAATCTGGACCCAGAACCTTAATCATTCTACTGGAGTCTGTGGGGTGAGATAGCCACGAGCCCATACAGTATTCAGAGGAGTTATTAATCAGAGATTTCCACTGAGGGGGAATAACCTCCATCACCTTAACATAATTTTCTTCCACCTTGTGTAATCTGGGTAATTTCCGTCGAAGATCTGCCTGCGATAGTCTGTTTTGGTTTCGATCATCCCAAATATGCTTAATTAAGTAAACTCCTTTGTCTAGCCAAGAACGGCCGAAACTGTCTGCTTTCATGCAGGTATCCAGCGGATAACTAGACGGATGTCTGGTCACGGCATTATCAAACAATCCTTGATTCATTAACTCTAGTTTAGTAACAGGGTTACGCAGCTGCACTGGCTTTAGCCTGTTCCAGGCTGACAAAATTCCCGCCCATACTCTGGACTTCACTTTCCTTGTAGGTAAATTAGATGCCAACAAGCATGACCAAATGTTGACATGATCCTCCAAAACTAGCTCCTTCCTCAGAATGTATTCTGCCAACAACTTCCACTGTTTCTGTTCATATCCAAGGCAGGCTTTAATCACCCATTTGCTAAGCAATGCACAGTTTTGGTCTTTTGGATCTAAAAGGCCCAGACCCCCTTCTTTCCTCGGGCAACATATTAGATCCCAGGTAGCTTTGACAATAAAACCCTGGTGTTCTGAATACGCTGGTTTCCACAAGTATCAGGCCGCTGCCTGCTTGATGGCGGAGTAAGCTTTACCCCTCAACGCATGAACTGCCAGAGGAAACCAAAGAATCGACAGGGCCGCTGACGAGAGTACTAAGTTACTACTAAAGCTCTTCCAAATACTGACAATTTGTAATTTCGGGCCCATCCCCATATTCTTGAGCATACCTTCTCCTGAAGAGTTCTATCTTGTTGGGGAGCCGTGTTTGTCACTGATACAAGAACCCCTAACATCCGTTCTGAGTCATCCGCCTTAACCCCTTTTAGACCCCAGTCCACACAGATACTGTATGGGGGGGGAAATAAATAAGCCGACTTCTCCCACTTTATCGATGCTTTCGATAACACACAGTAATCCTCCAATACTACTCTAAGCTGACCCATTGACTCTAAAGAATTCTCACAAGCTACAGTGAGGTCGTCATCAATTGCCCCCCCTTTCCACTGAATAGATGGGGGGAGATCCAGACCTTTAATGTCTGGGTTATGTCTAATATTATCCAACAATATTTCTAATTGAATAACAAATAATAATGGAGCCAGGGGACAACCCTGGCGCAAAGAACGCGTGAGGCAAAATTCCTTAGACAGCTTACCATTAACAGACACCACTGAGGATGCGCCTATGTACATGGCCTTAATGTATTTCAGAAAGATGGGACCAAATCCCATTACTTTGAGGGACGTGAAAACAAAAGGTCAACCCACTTTATCTTAGGCCTTTTCCATATCCAAAAGGAGAACAACAATATTTCTCTTCTCTGCCGCAATAATTTCCAAAGCTTGAAGTGACGCCATAATGTTGTCAAATATAGATCGGCCCTTCACGAAAGCTCCTTGCTCAGGCCCTACTATGTCGGGCAAGAATTCTGCCAGACGACTAGCTTGGACTTTCGCAAAAATTTTATAAATGACGTTCAACAACGAAATGGGTCTGTAGTTGCGTACTTCAGCTTTACTACCCTTTTTATAGAGTTACTGTAGTGAAATGCAGCCTTTGAGGAAACTTTTAGGAAAAAGACCTCTGTTTCTTACTTCATTGTAAATTTCGCCAAGAAAGGGACCGCAAACGTCCCAGCATTCCACAAAAAGTTCAACTGGTAAACCGTCAAGGCCGGGGCATTTCCCCTTGGCCATCTGCCTGGTTGCCCTGGTTAGTTCATCCAGAGTAAATGGTTCCTCCAGAGCTAACATCATCGTATGAGAGAGTCTAGTCCTAGATTTATTCCAAAACGTACTATAAGTGGACAAGTCTAGGTCCGGGGGCTCAAACGGTCTCCGAGTGGATACTATATCACTAAAGTAGGCATGCACATAGGAACACATCGTGTCCAAGTCAGAGGAAGTATCAAAGCTAGTGTTGAAAGGGTGTGTCAATTCCCTGATGAGAGACTTTGATTGCCTCAACACTAATGACCGAAAAGACAGTTTGGTCATACGATCGTAACCAATAATACCCCGTAGATTCAGCCATTCAAGCCACTCTGATTGCTTTTGATTCTCTACTTTCTCTAGTTCCAAAATAGCTAGTCGCCGTTGCTCAGACCAATAGTATTCAGAAAATGGGTAACCCCCCATCTTAGATTCTGCTTCTTGGATCCTCTTCAGTAACTGCTGCTCCTTCCATTTCCGCGATGCAACTTTCATCCTGGAAAAATTGCTTAGTGCTACCCGGATAATGTTTATGCCCACTTCAGCCCAATCCAACAGATCTTGAAAGAGGTCCTTAGATTTATCCCAAGCATTCATTTGATCCGTGATCCAAGACTTGATGCCTTTATCTTTCAGCATGTTAGTATTAAGCCTAAAAGGTGGCGCCTCTTTCTTCATTATGTCCTCAGAGACCACATCCATAAGGACCGGATAGTGGTCCGATAAATGAACACTATCCAACTCGCACCAGCAGGCTCTATCCCAAGGGGTGCCCCAAGCCAGGATAGCATCTAGCCGGTATCTCGGGCCTTCCTTATTAGGGGACGGACGAGGGCCGTACCAAGTGTATCCATTTGAATCGGGGTTCAATATTCTGTAAACATCATTCAGAGCTTGTGACTCCATAAAACATCTTAGCATGTCTGAGTCTGCCCTTGTTGGCCTGTTTGAAAGAGAATCCAAGCCTGGCACTAAGACTGTGTTCCAATCACCTTATAAAACCAGATTCTCAGTATCGGGGATAAACATAGGCAAATTAGATAAAAAATCTACCCTCTAATTGAAGTCTACAGGGGCATACACCGACATTGCTGCCCACTCCTCTTCCCCAATCAAAAACTTGATCCATGCCATTCTTCCACTGACATCTGCGTACGAATCCAACATTGTAACATTAAGGTCTTTAACAATCAAAACGGCCACCCCACCCTTCGTACCCTCCGAAGGGGACCAAACTTGAGGGTCGTCCCATAAGGCCAATGCCCTGCTCAACTTCTCATTGTCAAGCTTGGTTTCCTGTAAACCCAAGATTTGCACATTGGCTTTATGAACCCATTCCCGAAGGCGGGATCTCTTAAAACGATTACTGGTATCGCCTAAGCCTCGAATATTCAAAGAAGCAAATCTTAGCTTAGACGGAAGAACCATCAGGCTTCTTCCCGCCATCATGTTGGATTCGGCACACAGTGTGTTTGTCAGTCCCCTGACCCCCAGAAGCAAAATCCCTATTGAGACTGATTCCCAATTTTTTTACAGAAAGCAGTATTTTAGTCACCTAGTCTCGTGACAATCGGGACTTGAGTCCCACATGTTTAATCCACTCCGCTACCAATTGACCCGACCGTTCCATCGGGAGTTGCAGAGTTGAGATTGCCTCCAATCGTTCAGACAAGAAATTTTGCAGAGGAAACCAATGAACCCGAAGTTCGCTCCATTTGTCAAAGGAGTCATTAATAATTTTGATACCCAAGAAAACAAAATAACAAATTATCGATGGGGCATCTTTTTTTAGTGACAGATAGCGACTGAGCTTCATAGTGGAAAGAAGTGCAACAAAACCGGTGTGATTCAAAACGTGCCACTTTGTCAGTTCGAGTGTTTCCTACTCTGTAGGAGGGGAAGTGACCTGGATTGTCGGAATTTCCAATCTGTCATCCGACTCGTTTTGGTGAGATTCAGTGTTCCAAGAGGACTGTCAGAACATATAAGCGGCGCAAGGAAATTTTTTGCCAGGCCTATTACTTTATTTTTTTTTGATAAAGTCTTCATTGGCCCTGCAAACGACAACTGTTTACCCATAGACTGATGTAGCAGAGATCGCTTTCGACTTTTTGCTAAGTCCAATGGAGGGAGATCCGTCATTACACAGTTTTGCCCTTCCCCTGCAGTAGCCACACCACAATCATCATTCGTTCTAGTTTTCTTTGCAGGAGATCCTCCCGTAAGATTTGCATATAACAGCCTCCCTCCTTTCTGTAGCAAACCGTGAGTAGTTGAGGTCATGTGGCTTTCCTTCGGAATAAAGTGACCAAGTGGAGGGGGGTACTGCTCCTCTCTTGCTTCACGAACATCAGCAGAGTTGTGGTTGCCGACTTCTTACGAATGATTGAAGTAAACCTTGAAGACGTCCAATGAGGTAGATTCTTCTCGGCCAGGGGATCGAGGCGGGGTATAAACCTTTTCCTCATAAATAATAAGTATACTATATTTTTCCACTTCAAGAGGATCACAACCCAATTCCTTCCCCGTGACTCCGAGAAAGTCTTCCTCCGATTCATGATCACACAAATCCGTTCCCACCACTCCCTCCATGCCTTCATCCACTATCTCCTCTAAGTAATCAGAGTGTTCTCTCAGAGCCTCATCCTTTACTTCTTTCGCCTCTTCTCCTTTTTCCACCAAGTCCTCTAGATCTTCCTCGTCCAGTAGAAAAATCGCCGTTGTATTAAGATTCTCTTTGTCTTCGCTAGCCCACTCCGTGGAGGGGTTAGGCGGAGAGGTCATGTTTCCAATATTGTGACAACGAATTAAACCCGTTTCTTCATTCTCATATAGCTCCTCCTGTTCTTCCCCCGAATCTACCCCTTCAACCTCCTTTTCGATAACTCCTTCCTTCAGCCCTGTATCCTGTGTCTTGGTCGCATCTCCTCCACTAAGGCCTTCACTCACTTTCTCGACGTTGGCCTCCGTATGCCCTGTGACCTGTTCCTTCATTTCCAAATCCTGGAGTGGAACCTCCTCCTGATTCCCCACCCCATCCACTCTGGGCTCATGAGTTGGATATTGATAAGGCTTCCAGACCACTATGTCCCACCCCTTCTTTTGGGGGGATGCTTTTTTTTCCCCTTTCACCTCTCGATCCCCAGACGGACTTGCCACCTTCTCCGATCCGTCTTCCTCTTCCTCAACTGGAGCTTTATTCTTTGACTTTCGAGGATCCACATTTTTTCGTTTGCTCTTAACACACTCACGATCCCCTGCAAATGAAAAAACTTCCTACATGCTGTACACCAAGGGGTGGCAACGCTGGCCACTTCAATATCCACATATCCAAATTCTGCCATGTCGATGGTCAGGTATGGTTTATACCGAAAGCGCGCCGATGTGACCAGGTCGAAACGGATATCGAAGATCTCCGGAGAGCACGGGTCTTTGAAAGCAGGATATGCTTTCAAAATTTGGCCAAAGGCGGCTTCTACCGCTCCCACCAGTTAAGGGAGGGATGAAACTGGGACTTGCAGACACTTGATCCAAAAGAAAGGGAAACGCATCGCCTCTCTCCATTCGTGCATCTGATTGTCATTCACCCACGTTTGGAAGATGACTTCGTAAGTCCTGTTGTCAAGTGTTATCCTATCCTTACCCTTCCGTAACATGAACGAAGCAATTTGGCTCGAGGCAGATATGTACGTGACAAGATTCTGACACTCGTTATGAAACAGTCCTCTCTGGGGAGGGATACCCATCGGCCTATTAACTGCCCATCCATCTTCATAAATACGCACAAACCGTTTCTTAACGTCTATCGGAAGAGAAGTAGATTTGTCTCCAAACAGGATTGTCACCGTGTGTGCCTTCAGCCAGTCCACTTGGACTCTGAGAACTTCCGGATCAATCGAGACCCTAACATAATCCCCCCCAACTTCCACTCTATTTGGATTGGAAGCCGGAGCCAGGTGTCTGGGGGGAGACCATCGATATAACACGAACTCAAAATCCCTCTTATTCTTTGTTTTTCTGTATCCGACAAGGATGGCGAAGAATGGGGGGGAGGGGGAGGGGGAGGGGGAGGGGGGGGGAAAGACGAGGATCCCACATTGTTTGCCCTCCTTCCCCTCCACCTATCGCAAATAAAATCCCCCTCACAAGCACACAGATAGGGATAGGAACAAGGAATAATAACTGCATCTGTCCTCTACCATTAACACCCTAATCGACCTTGCTAATTCTTAAAAAGTTAGCACCGATAAAAAATAAATAGAGAGTTATAGCTTATCACTTCATCCACTAATGAAAGCCTGAGAAGTCATCCCGATTTGACGATAAGGTTTTTACCTTGTCCACCAGATGACCTTGAGATCTACGAAATTGGCTCTTAAAAGAGAAGCCATTCCTTCCATCCGTCGGCCCTGCGCAGACCAGCAACCTCCTGCCCCTTGATCTTCTCAAGGGGGAACGCCGTACAGAACATACCGCGCGGAAGTAGGGAGCATTTCCCCAACGAAATCGACAGTCAAAAGTAAGAAATGCCCCATACACGTCGTGAAAGTCAAACGCATCCGGCGCGAAAAAATCGCGGCGTCCTCGAAAATACCGAGAGTGACGACGCTAATTTTCACGATAGCGCAACCTTAGCGCATCCCGGGCGCTGTTTCGCGACGCGGCCGGTCCTACCGCAGGTTGTCACTTTTGATATTTGTAGCTGTAAAGATTTGGAGCATACTCGCATTACTAGCAGCTCTGGAGGAGGAGGTAGCACTACTGGCGCCGGAGCGCGAGATGCTGCCTGACCGTCACCTTCGCCGGCCCGACGAAGAACAGGCCCAGGCGCGAGAGGAGGCTGGTCCTCAATGGCACTCTACTCGAACAGTTTTAGGGCACCCACTAGGGTAGGTTTTCTCCATCGCTGCTCACCATGGTAACCTCATATGATGAAGCGAGCGAACAAATCTGGTCGAGTAGGCTGTAGCCACCACCTCTGGTATGGAAGTTAACAATCCAGAAGAAAGTTATGGAACTGGGATATTGGGAGCTGAGTTATCGCATTCAGCTATAACCGCACTGGCTAAGCAAGGTGCAAGCTTCCTCGACACCTACCCCGTGTGGACGTTTGTAGATCTACCTATCTGTTTCTCTAGTTTTATCGGTCGTTGGCAGGGCACACATGATATAGGTCATACACGAGCCTCTGCGAGTGGGATGGCGAGGGTCTAGGCTTCAAGTGAGTCGAGTTGCCACCTTCGATTGGTTTGGGTAGTGTGTATGCGCTAAACCAGGTTTGGATAGGTGATAGAAGCAACTAGGGAGAAGGAAGGCGAGACAAGTTCGGGACATCACAAACACACGGGCACCTGGGAGTGCATCTCGTCATCCAATTACCAACTTTTAACAATCGAATACCCAGTACAATCGATGTAATGCCCACTGGGGGGCATGCTGATATAAAGACAACCAATTGTACTATCCTCGTCTTCACAAGAGATTTGCAGCTCACCTGAACAAAAGTCTAGAACAAGTCGGGCATGGGGCGTTCCACAACGCCCAGGAACAAAAACTATCTTCACCTTATCTGTCCTCTTACCTACGGTGAAGTTTCCTGATTTATTGATAGAGGAATATTGTACTCTCAATTCTTAATATTTCCAAAACTCGCTTCGTGCTTCAAATTATATACCTGATCGGACATTTTTCCTCTCCTTTGGCTAAATACAACACTTTTCCCCACTCTCTTTTCCCTCTCGCCAAAAGGCATAATAGCTCATTGGTCTAGCTTCATCGTGGATCCGGGTTAAAGTGGTTCACCGAAGCGACGAAACAAAACAAAATCAATGTTGCAAACGCCTCTTCAGGCACACAGCAAGACGTGTTGGATCCAAAGTGCTATTGCTTGCCATTGATCTTCAAGGAAGGTAGTAGAATGTTTTGTATTCATTTAACATTCCTCTTCCCTCGCGGTCCATACTAACTTTAAGCAAACTTCTCTCTCTAATAATCTAAGCCCGGTAGGTCGAATGTACAACTTAAAAGTACACCCTTTGGCCTTCCCTAATTTTCATCATACCATCGTCCCTCCATTCCGAGTACCTTGGCTTCCATCAGTTCCTCCGAGTCTCCCGACGTCCACTCAGAGTTCTCCCCGGTTTGGCCCTTCCCCTGCCACATCACACCCCCTTTCTCACTCCCCCCACATACTCATCCGGCATTACAACTACTGTTTTCCGCTCGACTCCAACCCATCATGTTGTGCTCCACCCCTCCTCTTTCACAACCCTATTCAACTATTCATCTGCTCTTTCACAACCCTATCCAACCCACTATATCTGCTCCCATTCCATTGTAGGGTTCATCTGGTCCCACGAGCTCCCGACAACCCCTCTCTCGTTTCCCATCTTACTCTTCCTTTCCTTCCATTTCTGCTAACGAGTCACAATCTGTCTCCTTGCTTCAATCTTCCCACATCTTCACCTAGACAAATCTTGTAAATCCCCTTCCCTCGAATATTATGACTCCGTCGTTATTGGCTCGAATACCCTTACAAGGGTATCCGCCCTGGGTTGTTGCAAGTGACAAAAAATAAGTTTGGTTTAAAGATTGAGTATACCGCGCGAGTCGCGGTTGTGTTTTTATTACGTTGACTGATGGTTGACTCAAGTAGAGAGTGCGGGCGCGCACAGATTTAAGGCGTGCGTGATCTCTTTTCTTATTGATGATCGTAAAGTTGGCGTAATGCCGACCTAATTTTTACTGTGATTCGTGTACGTATGCACAAAGGACGGGCCGTCGTATGATAGGCATGGGGTTTGACGGCCTGGACTTAGTGGGTGAGCAAGGCGTGACTTAGAAACATTTCAATTGACCTGCGCGCGGAGAGGTACTCGCTTATATAGGTGTCCGGTAATGCTAAGCTTATCCTTGGGCCTAGCACTATTGGTTACGGTGTCAGACTTTCATCAGGGACATTAAGGGATCGAGGCCAGCGAATAACGGCGCGGGAGCGCGGGAGTGGCACGAAGGAACTGTGGCGTTGAGGGTCCGACGAGGCTATCCCCTTTGGTTTTGCCGTCGGCGCCCACAGCGGCTCAGTTCATGGAACGAAGGGGGCGCCACGGTCCCTTTCCCTTGCTTTCCCTGAGGTTCCGATAGCTCGCCGTAACCATGTTGTAATTATTATTTTGTTTATCTTTATGGAGTTAAAAAACCCTGCTCTAGGAGCAGGTCCGGTACCAGATCCGAGAGCTACGGTGGAGTCAACGGGACTGACTCGGTTGGTATGCCTGTGGAATACGGGAGGAGTGAACCACGGGATCAACGCGTACACAATCGGTGGGGATCTAACCCACAGGCCGAAAGAAGTTTGATAGGAAGGGACTTTCTACAGAAGTGTCGTCCGTGCCCCACAATCCGATGTGCGCAGGGGACCTTTCTCCACCTCGGACCCCACAGTTTCCATTTGGATATTTGGCACTACCATCAAGCTTTGCTTCGAGACCCACTCTATTTGGGGCCGTATTAGGGGCCTGCAGCAAGCCCGCACTGCGACTCAGTGACACTATCTATGTGCGGATTGCCATAGGGAACCCGAGAAGGGAAGGGCCCCTGTCTTGGCAGAACGACCGGAGGGGGCTTAGCGGATGTTCGCGGCGGTACCAGCGCGCAACTGTCTCCTCGGGTTTGAGCATAGAGGCGAAAAACTGATCGAATCAGTCATTGACCGATTTACCTTTCGTCGAGGCTTTTCCCTCTACAGCGGTCGAAGTTGCTGGGCGACCTATTGAACGACCGTAAGATAGCGCTGGGCAGAGGTTGTCAACAACAACAGGCGGGCAAGGGAGAACGATTCCGGACGGGATCTTGCGTCGGGGTTCGCTCCGAGGAAAAACGAGAGCGATGGTGAGGAGTTGGCGGGGTGTAGTTGAAAACTGCAACTCTTTCGATCCTCGATTTGCTTTGGGCAGGGTCAGATATGGGTTGGAGGTTCGTAGGCAGAGCGAATTGAACGACGAGGTTAGATTTAGGTGAAGGTTAGTAAGAAAGGAGGTCAGTAGGGATAGACGTGCGCAAAGGTGGACGGAGATGGCAGCAGGGATGAAAACTTGGGTAAAACGTTGAGCGATTCGGTCCTTTCTCGACTGATTGTGATCATCCAAAATGCTTCTTGGAGGGTTTGATGGCAGGTGAATCGAATACCGAAGTCAAAATCTGCAGTAGGATGGTAAAGTGGTAGTTATGTAAGAATGAAGCCGCGCAAAGTTGTCGGGTTGTGCATGTATGGTGGGATTATGAAAGAGAGATACCGCTCGTTGGTCGATGAAAACGAAGGAAGAGGGGGTGTAGCTAGGGGTTTTTCTATAGGGCGATCTAGGTGGTAGCGTTAGATTTGGAAGATAGAGGGTGAGTACTAAAATGGATTAGTAAGTAGCGGCGCGAAGGGAGGGGTAGACTAAGGACGGAGATGTATCTTTCCACGTTCTGGCGAAGGATCCATTTTCGAATTACGGGAGTAGCCAACCTGATCTCAGCTCTTATTTTCATTGGTTGTTGTGTGTCGGGATTGCGATCTACCTTCAGACGACTTTTTGTTCGTTTCCAGGGTTAGCCGTCCCCTTGGACTGTGTCCGCTTGAATAGCTTCACCCCGGATCCAAGTTGAACGCGAGCAACGGCTAGGAAAGCTGTGGTTTGACATGACCGATAATACGGACAACTGTTGCAGTAAGAAAGGGGAGGAAAATCATGAATGGTGGGGAGAATAACTAGCATGGAAGGGAGCGAAGCACTTACCTGTTGACTTCGTGAAGGAAGTGTCGTTTTTATCAAGATATCACTCTGTGTTTTTGTGGGGGCGGTTCCTTTCCATCTTGTACATTGGCAGGCTCGTCTGAATCCGGTATGGATAGTACGAGTTGTGAGGGGAAGCACTTGGTGTTGGCAGAGGTCTGCAGAGTCAAGATCTGCATATACCTTGACCACTATCTGCGTTAGGAGATTGCTCCGCTGGTCGTGAGATACAACAACTGTGAAAAAATAGGTTGGGCGCTGAGTATCAGGGGAAGGACAAAGATTCACTCATGCTTATGGTAGGTGGCAAGTTATGATTGCACTGGCACGAGAGCTCGCATTTTCAGTCTTCCTTCGATGGCAATAGTGCCAATGATTACGGCATCGTTGTTAAGCTGGGCAACTCTTGCTATTGGCTGTGAAAGAAGTTTTTTCCCATCTGAGCCAAGAACTGTTGTGCACTTTGTTATGCGTTGACATTGCGTAAGTTAGAACACTTGTGAGGCCGCTAAAGTGTAGTGTACTACTTCAGTTATGAGCACTGCCATCATGCGAGGGTTCACCATTTGCTGCGAAGAAGACCTCGGTGATCCGGACGCAATCGTTTGTTTTGGGGGATTACCGCTGACTACCGAACTCTGTTGTTGAACTTCTTTAAACAACCTTGTTTTGTTGTGCCCTGCACACTATGCGTCGCTGCGTTTTGCCTGCCACTTGGTTAGAATTCAAGGGCGTGCTCCAATCGAACGCAACCTTTGTAGGTTGAGTAGCAGTGGTTCGGACAGGAGGGGAACGGTATTGTGGCCTTTGGAGGTCATCGGGTTCAGTGAAAGGGTCCTTGACGGGATTTGCAAGGTCACCAGAGAGTCAACAGCTGGCAGTTTGGCTTTGATTGACTAAGTTGTTTTTCACACATTCTGACCACCATTGAGGGGCTCTCACTCGCGTCAAGGAACCAAGACCCTCTCACGCGAGTCTGAGTGCACCTCTCCTGGATCTGAAAGACTTAATGATTCTCCTTGTGCCCTTTTTTCTCTAAGTCTAGTCTGTTAGTTTTGAGAGGAAGGGAGCAGACAAGATTGCAATCCGTAATCCATGCTAAGGCCTCTGTGGGAGGTTGCCCCATCGATGGTGGGAGCTATGTCGGAACCTAGGCGAGGTTCTGGAGGCACGGAATTGAGTGGTGACCATCATTTCCTTCTATAAATTTAATTAACACCCTTATATGTACATCTTGCTAGAGTTTGACTGAGTGTACTGCACGTGTCCCATGTTGACTTTATTTTTCACTTTCTGGACATAAATCAGACTTACGTAAAATAATGCGTGCGTAATCTCAGTTTCACTTTTGTTGTTTGTCTGAAGTCGGATTGTGAAAATGTTTTGCATCAAGGGGAAAGCGGGAGGAAGGTAGTTTTACTTGTGATTGATCGGGTCGACCAAAGGCTGGGCAATGTTCTTAAGTTGGATGACCCAGCGCTTTGTTTTTGTTTTTTTTTGTTTGGAGGACCAGACAATTATTCATAAGTTGGATGGTTTGGTTGCTCTGACTTGTGAGGGCTGAATGTACAGGGACCAAGCAATTGTTCCATAAGTTTGGATGACTTGGTTACCTTGTTTTATTTTAGGGTTTCTAATGTTTCTTTTGTTTCTGTAAAGAGAGAGTTTGAGCAATTGTTCCATAAGTTTGGATGGGTTGAACTTCTTCAGGTTTTATTATGAGGGAGAATCAGGTGAAGGACCAGACAATTATTCCTAAGTTGGATTGTGTGGTATGAAGTCATGCACATGTTGAAACCAAAGGATAAATTTTGTCTATACCTTACTATTTTACTTATGAACAGACTAGTAAGACAATTGTTTCTAAGTTCGATGGTCTGACTATACCTTATCACAAACCAAAAAGAGTATTAATTAAGAATAAACTAATGGTAAGAAGGGGAAGGTTAAACCTTGTTTCTAAGTTAAACGGTTCGGTCATATGCTACCTTAAAAGACTAAGTTAAAAAAGTTATATATAACTTGACTATTTTTAAACAGTTTAAGGCGACTAGGCACTGTACTAAGTTGGAAGGCCTAGTTATATGTCCAAAGAAGCAAAAAGTTGTGGTTCCCTGTGTTTGTTTATATTCAATAGTCGAGTTAGACAATTGTTCCTAAGTTGGATGGTTCAACTTTATACCCTATGCAATTCGGGTATAAAGGATAAATCGTTGAAAGATTATAAACTATTGTTTGACAAAGTTTAACCTTGGGACTGGGTGATGTGGTTTGGACTTGCATGTGGCTGAGTGAGAGCTTTACTTAGTCTGAGTTTCAGTTTGATAGGTAGTTGCTTTAGATACTCGTCACGAGCTAAAGCTATAGAAGTTGGTTCAATTCTTGCATTTTCTTAGGTAACTTTTTTTTACTTAGGTCAATTCT